CTCCCATAATGGGCTGCGCTCTCTTACATCAATTAGCATTAAGAACATTACTCAAGATTCATCACAACTCCATGCCTTATCAACTTCACACAAGCATATCACTATTAAAAGAGATTTGTTTTGGTCTAGAAGAGGTCCTTAATTTCACAACATAAAACATAGTATAACTTTATAATCCCCACATTCTAAAAATTTCAACACTTTAAAAGTCCAAATTCTCTTTAAAATATTCAGTCTTTTTACTATGGGGCTCTTGTAAAATTAAAACAAATTAAATAATTTCTCATTCCAAAAGGGAAGAACCAGGGCATAGTTAAGAGTCTAATCAAGCAAAACCATTCAGCAGTGTAAATCAAATTCTGTAGCTCAATGTCTGGCATCTAGGACTCATTCATGATCATCTGGCTTCAAAAGTCTTAGCAGCTCTACTTCTCTTGTTTTGCTACCCCCAGTACATGCAGATTGTCTTGTAGGCTCAGGCTGGCTCCACTCCACACCTGCCAATATCCTTGGTGGGCATTCATCTTGTCTGGGCATCTCCAATATCCTGGAATATCCACTGCAAGTGAGGCTGCACCTTCACTGATCATGGCCTCTTTTGGTCTCTCTTCAGGGAGACTCTGCCTCTGCCCCACAGTGCTAAGCCTCAATTGCTCTTCATGATTCTTCATGCCTTCAGAACTAGAACTGTGTAGGAGATTCTTACACATTATTTGCCAAGTTCAGCTGCCAGCTTGAGATGCAGTCTTGGCCCCGTCTAGAGCACAGGTTTTATGCTGACCCTGAGGAAATACTTCCCAGAAGATTTCACCTTAATGATGTTGGTCCCTTACTAATCAAAGCTTATTTTTCAGCCTCAGCTGAGTACAAAGCAGTCTTAATTCAAAATATCACAGTTAACAGACCAATAGAATCTTTGCTTCCCCCTGAAACTTCACAAACCAGGTGTCTTATTTTCTGCATTGCTCTCAGCATTACCTTCCAGGTTCTCACAGCACCTCATTAACCTGTGAGTCTTCAGTGGGCTTTTCTAGCCTAAAGCTCCAAAATTCTCCACCTTCCTCTCTACAAAACAGTCGAAAGCATGAAAGCCATATTGTCAGGGCTTATCGCAGCAGCACCCACTGTTTAGGTACCAATTTCTGTTCTAGTTTGTTTCTCTGTTACTATGATAAACACCGTGAGTCAAAAGCATCTTAAGGAAGTAAAGTATTAATTTTGCTTTTTGGTTACAGTCCACTACTGTAGAAAGCCAAGGCAGGAAGTGAAGGAGAGATCACAGGGGAATGCCACTTACTGGCTTATATCCATACTCATGCTCAGCTGCCAAACACAGTCCAGGCTCACTTGCCCAGGAATGGGCCCTTGTATATCAATTAGCAACCAAGAAAATGCCCCACAGACATACCCACAAGGCCAGTCCTGATATTTGAAAACTTTTTGAGAAAGACATTATTCTAGGTTCATCTTAAGCAGTTCTTTCTTAGCCTGTTCTTTAAGAAGACCTTGTTGTTTTATAGGGAAATCACATTTAGAGTACATAGTCTAGATGTTGGAGGTTGTAATTGCCACAGGATTGACTAGGAAATATGTGGGTAATTTTTTCATAAGTATAATATTCAAAGATAAAATTGCAAGAAGTTCGTATTGATATTTCCAATTAAAATGTGCATTTTACTTAACCACTACAGTCTCAGTAGCTGCATTTCTTTTCATTTCTACTCAAAATTCTGTTTCTCTGTGACAGCAGAATAATCACAAACTTATTTTATCCCACATTTGACATTCAGCTACCTTGGAATAGCAATCCCAACACTACCCCTGGAACAGAAAATAATTTAAAGCATGGGTATGTGTGGGTGGGTGGGGGGCTAAGTGACAACAGAATGTTAGCACTGAAGAGAGAAAGTGTGGGTTTCTCAGGAGAAGGTCTCATCCCTTGGATCTTTGATCTGTCATTTTATGGCCATTTAATGGGGGGAAGATGGTTCATGGATTAAAGTGGTTTAGGGTTGGAATTCCAGGAATGAGTCGGGATTTTCCCAGAGTAGGATTTACTTCTGCTTTATGTCCTTCATGGGGTTTTCTAGATATTTCATAGTGTCTGATGATAGGAATAAGTAATTATGGAAGCCTAATGATATGGAGGTGCTATTCATAAAAATTCTGTTTTCTTGTTGTTTTTGAGACAGGGTCTCCCTGTAGCACAGCTGGCCTAGAACGCACTATGTAGGCCCAGCTAGCCTCAATCTCACAAAGATCTGCCTGCCTCCACCTCCCAAGTGATGGGATTAGAGGTGTGTACCACCATAACTAGCCATAAAACTTTCTTTAATTGGAAAAACAAAAAAAACAACAACTCATTAAGCCCAAGGGCACAAGGTATGAGTGCATAGAGAGTTGGATGCATTTTTGTGGATGATAAACAAATTTGTTCTATTGTTTTTCGTACTTTTTAAGGTCTCTGAAGTTTAGTCTGTATTTCTTTTCCTAAATGTTCTTGGGTGTGGGTCTATCCCTGCAGTCTGGTTAATCTACCAGGTATCACACTAGTAAGGAAAACTGGCTTTGTCTCTCTCAGCAGCTGTCGGTTGCCAGTACATTCTCAACTAGGGCTAGGATTTTTTGCCAACCTCCCCTATCCATGCTGGCATTTTGTCTGGCTTGGGTTTGCATGGGTCTTGTACATGCTGACTTTTCAAAAGTAAAGTGAAGAGAACAAAGCTAGAAAAAGAAGATTTTAAATATGCTAAGCATATTTTTTTTAGAGAAAATTTCTGGTTTTACTAATTTTTGCTGATCTAAATTTTAATACCTGGAAACATTGGGTCTTTGGTAAATTAATGTTTCTGAACTCAATTGATTATAGGTCATTTTGTTGGTGATAATGAATTAAATTCTTAGAATGAGCTTTAGGACTTGCATACTGATTCTGGGAACAATTCTGTGAAAAATTATCAGTATTAGAATTATAAAGCTTTAAAAATGATTTGTGGACATCTAAATACTTTATTTCTAACTTTATTGACAAAATACTGACAGCGAAGATCTCTTATGTACATTTAACGTAATGCTTCATTTTATTTATTTGTCTGTCTGTCTGTCTGTCTGTCTTTTTTTTTTGGAGTGCTGGGAGTAAGGCGTGTGCCACCAGGCCCAGCTATAATACTTCATTTTAAAGAAGGCTTTAACCTCTCCAGCTTTATTTAAAATTAACAATAAACATATACCAAAAACCCAGCTGTTGGCAGTTTCCATCATGCTTTTAAAAAGAAAGTAGGTTTCATGTTAACTTTGATTAGCCTAATCCCTGGCAGTACAGTCTTATATCAGTACTTCAGCTCATCTTTGATTTTAAACCAAAATAGTGTCTTTGATTTGAATTATTTCAGAACTTTTTTCCACAATATTAACTTTGGAATAGAGGTCAGAAAGTAAGCACTTAGAAACATTTTAAAGTGAATCTAGTTTGATAACGTGGTACCTACCTGTAACCTCAGCACTTTGGCATTAAGACAGGAGAATCACAAGGTCTGGGCCAGCCTGGGCTATATCACACAATTCTGTCCTGGGTCAGGCAGAAAAAGAGAAAGAAGAAAAAAAAAATCAAAACATTGGCCTTAGGATAAATAGTTTAAGGTACTACATTCAGTGTATCTTTAAGTTTTGTTCTGTTTTATTTAATCTATGGTAATTAGTTATTTTTCTGGTTGCTGTGACAAAGTACTGAACAAAAGCAACTTAAGGAAGGAAAGGCTTATTTTGGCTTGCAATTCTAGGAGATACAGTCCATCATGGTTGGGAAGGGATGGTGTCAGGACAATGGGGCAGCTTGGCTACATTGCATCCACAGTCAGGAAGCAAAAGAATGAATAGTGTTTCTCAGCTCCTCTTCTCTTTTTATTCATTCAGTCCAGAACCCCAGTCTGTGGAATGGTATATTGGATATTTAGGGTGGGTCTTCTACCTCAGTCTAGGAACTCCCTCACAGATGTGGCCAGAAATTAGTTTTTATGGTTATTATAAATTCCGTCAGGTTGACAGTCAAGATTGGCCATCACAGTCATGTCAGGTATTACAGTCTACTTTCTTTCTGTAGGCTATTAATAAGGACAGAGATGATGCTACTCTCAAGGTGACTGATGTTTTGATAGGCAGTTGATTAGAGTTCCTACTCCACTTGTGTGTTTTCCTAGGCTTATATCAGTGATTTTGGAGGCTGACACCTTGGGGTCGAGGGGGTTCCTTCTGTCAGTGATTTTGGAGACTAACTTTTTGGTGAGTTCTAAAAATGACACTGAATATGCTTTTACTGCCTGAGGTTGTAGAAAGAATGATGAGCTTAAAATCTAAGACTTGGGGCCAAGCCTTTAATCCCAGCACTGGGGAGACAGAGGCAGGCGGATCTCTGTGAGTTCCAGCTAGTGCTACAGGGATACCCTGTCTCAAAAAACAAAACAAAAATCTAAGACTTGGCTTCTGATCTGACTATTGTCACCTACCCATCCATGTCAGTGTGATACCCTTCTAGGTTTTTCACCTATGTTTTAGGTTAAAAACAAACAAACAAACAAACAAACAAACAACCCAGCTTGTTTAGCTTGCTTGAGGTGAGATGTTAAAAGAGGGGTGAGGGGGGATTGAACCCAGGACCTTGTATATACTGGACAAGTGCTCTTTGCTTAGCTACATTCCCCCCCCCCCCCCCATTTGAGACATGGTCTCACTAAGTTGCTCAGGCAGGCCTTGAACTCAAAGTCCTCCTGCCTCAATCCTGTGCCGGCACGCTGTACTCTTCCTATTAAAGTATAGTGCTTAATGATAGGCTTAATGATAAATTATCTAATTCATACAGAAATAACATGAAACTTGTCTAAGGAAGACTGAATACTAGTAATCATCAGCATTTCACAATCTACTCTAAGACTAACTTTATTGGCTGTGTAGTGACACTTATTTGAAATCAGAAGTATTCAAATATTGTTTATTATTTATTTCAGTTGTATATGTATCAGCTGTTCAGAAGTTTAGCCTATATCCATTCCTTTGGAATTTGCCATCGAGATATTAAACCTCAGAACCTCTTGTTGGATCCTGATACAGCTGTATTAAAACTCTGTGACTTTGGAAGGTAAGCTAACTCTTTTTCTCCTTCCCTTTCTACCTTCTCTCATAGTCTTTTAAATGTATTTGTTTTATATTGTTGGTCTAAACCCTATGATGCCTACTCAGAGAGTTGCTTTTGAGTATAGTTTTGATAATTCTGTGTACCTTTCATCCTACAGTTTCTAAGAATTATTTCCCTAGACACATTTATAAAATAAGGTATATTTAGAGCTGTTTTTAAAATACAGCATTGTTTATAAATGTCCATTAGCAGGAAAATGTCCAAATATTTAATCTATACAAATACAGTGTTATCCATGCCACCAAGAAAAATAAATTGACAGCTCTCTGTAAACTGAGGGGAGTGATATCTAAGATATACTAAATGAAAAGAGTCAGAGACCAAGGAAATGGCTCAGTCAGTAAAGGCACTTGCCACCAAGCAAACGATGTGAATTTCAACCCCTGGACCCACACACAGGGTGAAGGAGAGAATCAGCTCTGGCAAGTTGTCATCCACATGTGTGTTGTGATATGCTTATGTATGTGAGCATACACACAAATAAGTGTAATAAAAAGATTTATAAGGAAAAAAATAGTTAAAAGTTGCTGGTTGGCTATGGTGATGAGGTATGTTGTTAAATCCACTGCTCAAGAGATAAGGTGGGAGGATCATTCCTTTGAGGCCTCCCTGGGCTACATAGTAAGACCTTGTCCAAAAAAGACCACCATCACCCCCCAAAAATGGGGGGGAGGGAGAGCAATAAGTCAAGATTATATTTGTATGATGCTTTTGTTTTAAAAAAAACACAGGCTAAGCACTTGGGAGGCAGAGGCAGGTCGATCTCTGTGAGTTCGAGGCCAGCCTGGTCCACATAGTTCCAGGACAGCTGAGGCTACAGGAAGACCCTGTCTCAAAAAGACCAAACAAACAAACAAACAAACACAGGTTATGACTATGTATGTACAAATATGTCCATGCCTAAACATGACTTATTTCTGAAAAGATACATAATAATCCCACAACATTAATTATGATTTTTTTACATTTGTATTTTAATTTATACAAATGTGCATATATGTTCCAATTTTTATTAGGAACAATTTTGTTAAAGGTAGCTCCATCAGATTATGAGACTGGGAAATATACAAGCTGCAGAAGCTTTCAGTATATGATTTTGACTTAACTGTATATTTTCTGACAATATAAAAGAATATTTTGTTGGTTAAAAATACACCTTATACATTCATTTATGTATGTGTATATGTATGTATTTTACTTTCTATTGCTATGATTAAAAATCACTGACCAAAACCAACATGGGGAGGAAAGGGTTTATTTGGCTTACAGATTGCAGTCCATCATTAAGGGAGGCTAAAACATGAGGTCAGTGGGCAGGAACCTACAGGCAGAACTGAAACATAGGCCGTGGAGGAATGCTGCTTATTGATTTGCTCTCCTGGTGTGGGCTCAGCCCGTTTTCATATACTACAAACAACATAGGACCACTTGCCCAGGGGTAGCACTACCCGCTATAGGCTGGCCCTTACGTCATTCAACAAATAAGAAAATGCTTCACAGACATGTCCACAATAGAAAGCAGTTGCTCAGTTGAGATTCCCCCTTCTCAGGTGTGCTAAGTTGACAACTAAAGCTACTTAGTACAGTATGTATGTATGTATATATGCATGTATGGTGGTGCTAGAGTTTAAACCTAGGGCTTTGTGCATAATAAGCAGGTGCTCTACCATGGAGCGAGACTCCAAATTCCAAAATTGTACCTTTCAAGAAAAAATTATGCTGAAGGCTAAGTAATTTAATTTTCTGGCAGCCACAAAAACAGATTAATATTTTTTAATGTATGCTGTGGTTGTTTTGTGTAAGCTTGAGAAGAGGGTTAAATTTCAAAACTGTTAATAAAGGAAAAGCAAACTAAGCTTAGAGTCATCATTGACTAAAATTAAATAGAAGGAAGGAAAGCCTAGACTTCAAAATCCTTATGTCTGTTTTCATGTCTATATCCTAGTTTTCCTGGACCTTTACCTTAAAGTTTTCCTTTTTTTTTTTGTCACTTGTTTTACTTAGTTTTTACTGTTTGATGTTGTTATTTCCTCTATCTGTGATACTATTGCATGTCAAAGTGGTTAGCTCTGAGAACATCTTTCTTATTTGAGTCTTTGGGTTATTTTGAGAGACATCTCAAGAGATAAAGAGATTAATTCACTTTAATATTTCAAGTTTTGTGTGTGTGTGTGTGTGCGTGTGTGTGTGTGTATCTAGGAAAATTGGAATAGCAGATAAACTTAACACAGCAGAGAGAGAATTCATAGGTTGTAAACCCTATGAAAGTGGATTGCCTATCTTTTTCCATCTTTTTAGTAGTAGGTATCTAAACAATTAATACATTGACCAAAATATGGGAAAGTAAAATAGATTGGCTGTGTGAGGCTTGAGATATCCTGAGTCACAGTCCAATTTTGAAACTGCTGGGTGTTTTTTCCCTTAAGAAAAAAAGAGAGGCGTATTATATTCTAATCTATTGTCATTCTTTTGGTGGAGATTAGCTAATTAGATTAATTTTCTGCCCTTCCGTCTTTATATACCCATTTGTGCATTTTGAGACAGCATCTCACTATATAGCCTGGCTGGTCTGGAACTCCCAGTCTGCCTGCCCCTGCTGCTGGAGAACTGAGATTAAAGGCATGCTCTACCACTGTCAGTCAAATTTGTATTTTAGGAGTAAAATTTAAGGAACAGAGATCAAAAGTTATTCAACTTTGTGTCCTTTTATAATTTTTAATCTCTTTGTTCCTTAGGTAACAGTTGACAAATGCTCTCTTTTAAACTTGCTATTCTTTTTTTCACATCAGTTTGATAAAATTGTAATTTCTTTTATTGGAGACAGTTATAATTTATATTTTCTATTTGTATGTTGTGTTATTGCAGTGATAATGCGACTTAGATAAGCATTTGGTATTGTGAATGGTACGAGTATTGACTTCCCTAACGTTTAAATTTAAAGATGGCTCTTTTTTTTTTTCTTCTTTTTTTTCTTCTTCTTTTTTTTTTTCAATTAGTGCAAAGCAACTGGTCCGAGGAGAACCCAATGTTTCATATATCTGTTCTCGGTACTATAGGGCACCAGAGTTGATCTTTGGAGCCACTGATTATACCTCTAGTATAGGTAAGTACTCAATCTGAATATAATGCTTCTAATTGTTCATTGTGCTCTTATTCTTGTGATTTCCCTGTCATGGAAAGGGTGTGACTATAATAGGTTTTTCTTAAGATATACAAAAATGTAGAATTTGGAAATTTTACCACTTAGAGTTTAATATATGCTACTGTACTATTTTTAAGCTTGTTAACAATTAGAATTATAAAAGTATTATAGTTGATTAATGTATTTGTTTTGATTATAAAGTTTCAAATAAGTACTAAGTAGTGGAAGGTTTTTAGTTTTTTGGGGGAGTTTGTTTTTAATTATTGGGGTGAGGCATGTGCCACAGCATGTGTGTGGAGGTCAGAGGACACTTTTGGAGTATGTTTTTTTCTTTTCATCTTTACGTGGGTTCTAGGGACAAAGCTCTGGTTGTTAGGCTTGTATGGCAAGCACTTTTATCCACTGAACCATCTTATGGGTCCTTTAGTTTCAGTTTTCTTGAAATATATACTTCTGATTTATAGTTAAAAAAATCGGTGTTATTAATTGCATTTAAAAATATTTATATTCAAATTGATAGGAAAATAAATGATTTAATCCCTACTATGATGCCTTACTTAATTTAATTCATTAATAGTCCAGCTAAACCCACTGATTGTTTAAAAGTGTTCATTGGTGATGCATAGTGATAGAGGGAATTAAAAAGAGTTAGTTGAAACCTTCATTGTGTCTTCCTTATTTTAATGCATTTGCTGAGAGTCAGTGCAAAGACCATAAGCAGTTGGCCATGAATAGGTAGAGAAACAGAGCAAGCTTAGGGTAGATTGCAAGTAGAGACAAAAATCACTGCCTGTCTGTCTGTCTATCTAATCTGTTTATCATCTATAACTATCTGAGAGATAGTATATGTTGGCCAGGGATTGTAATTGGGTATCTTCCTCAGTCACTCTCCACCTTTTTTTTTTGAGACAGGGTTTCTCACTAAACCTGGACCTTTCTGATTCAGCTAGACTGGCTGGCCAGTGAGCAGAAGGGATCCTTCTTTGTCCATCTCTAAGGGTTGGGATTAAAGGCGCACACCACCTCATTCCGCTCTTTTACATGGGTGCTAGGAATCAGACTCAGGTCCTCATAATTGCATGGCAGACACTTTACCAACTGACCTATCTCCTCACCCTCTTATGTATTATTTTTAAAGAGAATTCCTCAGACCGTAAATAAAAGCAAAAGCATACATATTGACCCCCTTCTCTAATAAAAATGACACAGTAACTGAAAAATAAAAAAAAAAATTCAGGTCAGTTTTTTGGTCTTTCTGATATGAGTGGACACACTGAGACAAAAACACATTATTTGTTTTCTTTGGCAGAAGGATGATATGCCAGTATATACTTTTGTTTATGCTAATTGGCTGATACTTTTACATACCATTTCTTTTTATTTGTCTATCAGTGTAAATTTTTGTGAAAATGGGTTTACTTTCCAGGACCTCTGAAAATGTCCAGAACACCTTAGGGCTCTACAGACACTTTATTAGACCTGCTGCACAGAGGAGAGAAAGTGTAATAGTATGATGTGCAGTTCTGGCTTACCATGGCTGTTTTATGTGGTATATGTTAATGAATAAGTAAGAAATGCTACAAAGATTATTTTCTGCAGTCATCTTCTAGGTTTACTACTGCTTAGCTAGACTATAAAGTGCCTGCTTTCCATATGGGGCTATGAGGTGTCAAAGTGTTAGTGAAATGCCTCAGAAGTATAAGGTAGCATTCCTCATGTATATTTATTAACTCGTGTGTTCCCCAAAACAAATTTTAGCACTTTGTCTTTGGGAATGTCATTGGATTTCATAATTGCTGGTGTTTTATTCAAATGTGTGATCCTGGTTATCTATACAAGATAATAGAGCTCAGCTGTGCCAGGGTCACCTAAAACAAGGCCTGTTTGGTTTTTCTAAAACAGAACTGAAACAACCTGATACATAACAGAAGGGGCTTTTGGGACCCTAGCAAACCTGGATTTGGCCTATGTTTCTAGATGTAGTATACTTGCTTCTTAAGGCTCTCTAAAATTTTTAAACAATTATATTTCTAAAAATAAAAGGAGCTGGAAAGATGACTCATTGTTTAAGAGCATTGGCTATTCTTTTGGAGGACCAAGGTTCAGTTCCTAATTCCCACTTTCTATGAGAATCGGCTGTTTAGTTTTCACATTGAGGCTCACAACACTCTGTAACTCCAGTTCCAGGGGATTGGACACCCTTTTCTAACCATGGGCATTGAATAACACAGGTGCACTTACAGACATGCAGGCAATACACCCATAAACTCAAAATTTAAAAAAATAAAAATACAGGGCTAGAGAGATGGCTCAGCAGTCAAGAGCATTGGCTGCTATTGCAGAGGACCCAGGTTTGGTTCCCAACACCCACATTGCAGCCAACAACAAGTGCACTTACATACATGCAGGCAAAACACTCATACACATTAAAAAATAAAATACATAAAATATATATGATAAATAAAAAGGTTTCAAAGTATATGAATAGACTTTTTGAAAAATTTAACAATAATATTTGAAATTAAAGAGAATTGGAAGTCACTAATTCTGACTAGATTGTTACTGTATTTGATGTAACCAATGCTATCTGAACAAAGTAACATATAAGATGTATAGGTTTTTTTTTTAACTCATAGAGTATTAATACATCTTTATTTTGTTTTCTCTTCAGATGTATGGTCTGCAGGTTGTGTGTTGGCTGAGTTGTTGCTAGGACAACCAATATTTCCTGGGGACAGTGGTGTGGATCAGTTGGTGGAAATAATCAAGGTGAGATGGTTGAATTAGAATTTTTGAACCAAAAAGGCAAAACACAGACGCACACATGCATGCACGTGCATGTGTGCGCGCACGCACACACCTTAAAAAATGGAAAAAGGAGAGCTGGGTAGATGACTCAAAGGTTAATGTATATGCCACAGAAATGTGAGAACTGGAGTTTGAATCCTCAGAAACCCATACAAATACAGAGGATATGGTATTTACCCATATTTAGCACCCAAGGATTGATCCCCAGAGCAAGATGATTGGAAAGACCAGCTGTGTCGGCAAACTCTGGGTTTGATCGAGAGACTTAATGAATAAGTTGGAAGAGTATAGAGAGCAATTCCTGACATTAACCTCAGGCCTCCACATGTATGCACATGCACATGCCCATACATATATGCAAAAAATTAAAATAAAAAAAATTTTGTATGTCATTTAGCAAGTTGAAATATAGATATAATAAAAGAACCAATTAGCCCTTTGGTTTCTAATTGAGGTTTTTCCTATTGTATGATTCAGAAATGGTATTTTGTGTATGTGATAAGAAAGATCTGTTATGTAAAGTACCTGAAACCAAAATTGAGCTCACAAAAGAGCGTTAAGCTAGAGCAAAGTAGATGCTTTTCTGATGTTGTTCATGATGCTCTTCAGACTCATGCTCCATAGAGCGTGTGGGATGCTCACTCACTTCGTAGATCAGTGTGAAATCAAGAGATTGAATAGCTATTACAGAGTTCTGAGTTAAGTATCTAATGCAATTTAATTGATTAATTGGTTTGTTTTTACATTTTAATGTGTTTTAATACATAAAAGATAAGATAAAAAGAAGATGGTGCTTCAAAACATACAAAACACTGTGTAGCGTTTAAATCAGGTTTAAATCTGTCTTCTCAAATGTTTCTCATTTAATAGTGAAAACATTCAAAGGCATATATATATATATATATTACATTGTCATTATATGTAGGAAGTCTAATGTTTACTAGTATGCCATAACTACTTCTTACTCTAACTATAACTTAGTACTCGTTGGTCAACTTCTCCCAATCACCACCCCTCATTCTGCTCTGGTAACCATCACTTTTTTCTCACTTTCTTTGTTTTAAAAAACACTTTATTATTTTTATTTTATATGTATACATGTAATTGCGTGGATGTAAGCACACTGGTGTCTTGCAGTGCCTGTGGATGTCAGTAGAGGGCAATGTGGATGTCAGTAGAGGGCAATGGAGTCCCTGGAACTGGAGTTACAGATGGTTGCTAGCCACCATATGGGTGCTGGGTATCAAACCGAGGCCCTCTTCAAGAGCAAAGAGTGCTATTAGCAGTTGAGCCACCTTTCAAGCCCCCTATTCCCACTTTCTATGAGAGTCAGCTATTTAGTTTCCACATTGGAGTGAGATCTGCACCTGGCTTATTTTACTTAGCATAATCTTGTCAGAAATGACAGGACTTCATCCTTTTCACAGATAAATAGTATTCTGTTGTTTACATGTGTTACATTTTCTTTGTCCAATCATCAGTGACTTAGACACTTCATTTATTGACTATTGTGATGGTGCTAAAGTTAATATGCTGAGTTCATTTGCTTTGGACACACACCTAGTAGTTGATTTATTGGGTTTTATGATAGCTCCATTTTTAGTTTTTGAGGCTATCTCCATACTGTTTTCCCTAAAGACAGCTAATTTGCATTTCAGTGGCATTATGTGAGCACTCTCCTCCAAATCATTGGCAGAATTTGCTCTCCATCCTTCTTACACAGTCATTCTTATTGGAGTGAGGTGATTTTTTTTTTTTTTTTTTTTTACTGTGGTCTTAATTTGTGTTCCTCTGATAATTAGTGATATTCAGCAATCTCTTCCCTTCCCCTCCCCTCTTATTTTTTTTCTTTTCTCTCCTCTTTTTTTTTTTTTTTTTTTTTTTTTTTTTTTTTTATAGTCTCCCTGTAGCTCCAGCTGTCCTGGAACTCACTATGTAGACCAGGCTATAGACAAAGATCCGCCTGCCTCTGCCTCCCAGGTGCTGAGATTAAAGGTGCGCACCACCATACCTGGCAAGGTTGTTTGTTTTTATGTGATTGAGTTTTTAAAAAATACTTTATTATTTTTATTTTATGTGTATGCATGTATTGCCTGCATGTGCATAACTGCACTTGTGTTATGCAATGCCCACAGGGGACAGAAGAGGGTGTCAGATCCTCTAGAACTGGAGTTACAGAGGGTGGTTAGATGCCATGTGGTGCTTGGAATTGAACCCAGGTCCTCTGCAAGAGCAGTCAGTGCTCTTAACTGCTGAGCTATCTCTTCATCCCCTCTACTTCTGCTTTTTCTTTCTTTTTTTTTTTTTTAGAAGGTTTCTCATTGAACCTAGAGATCACCAATTTGGCAGGACTAGCTGGCCAGTGCGCTCCAAGGGGTTCACTACTCTCTGTCTTTCCAGTCCTAGAATTATAGGCAATGTGCCACTGCCTGGATTTTTGTGTGAGTACTAGCTGCTGTTATCTGGGTTCTGGGATTCAAACTCAGGGCTTCTGCAAGAACAGCCAGTGTTTTTAACTGCTGAGTCATCTCTCCAGTCCCCAAGTGTGTGTGTGTGTGTGTGTGTGTGTGTGTGTGTGTGTGTGTGTGTGTGTGTGTGTGTGTGTGTAAAATATCCTGTGTATCTGGGATATTAACCCTTGGTCAGAAGTACAGTTTGAAAATACTTCATATTTTAATTTATTGCACTGTGATCAGAAAAGGTATTCAAAATGACTTCAGTGTTTTGTGAATTTGCTGAAACCTGTTTTGTGGGAAATCTTTCATCAGATTTCTCCTGAAGAATGTTCCATGTGGCATTGAAAAGTGTGTGTATTTTACAGCTGTTGGATAGAGTGCTTTACAAATATCTGCTAGGCTTATTTAGTCTAGGGTGCAACTTAATTCTGATTTTTCATTTTCCCAGTTATATAGTATTTCATCACGAAACCAAAAGAATGTGATTTGTTCCCTAACAAATCTGCATCGTGGGCTTTTATCATGATTTACTATCATAAAATAACACATAATAATCTGACCTTAACTGTATTGCTTGATATTTCTGAAAGGAAAAGAACACCTTTCAGAGCAGATCTGCTTTTTGGTATCCATTTACTTTAAAACACTACATTTTCTAGACCTCCTGCATTCTAAAATTTTCTTACATTTGAACATCTTTGCATCTCTGTAATTTCATACCTTTACTTTTTTAAAAACTGTCATTCTTGGGTTGGAGAGATGGCTCAGTGGTTTAGAGCACTGGCTGCTCTTGCAGAGGACCTAGGTTCAATTCCCAGCACCCACTGGGAAGCTAACCGTCTGTAACTCCCGACACCGTCTTCTGACCTCCATGGGCATAACATGACATGGGTACACTTAAATACATGCAGTCAATACACTCACAGAAAAATAAATATAATAAATATATTTTTTTAATGTCATTCTCTTTAATGAAAGAGGTCAAAGTGGTGACCATTAGCCACTAGAACACCATGTTTAAATTTTTGAAAGCATGAGTGAAAGACAAGATCAGACACACATTCACATCGGTATAGGAGCCCTTGAATTGTTTCCCACATCAGTATGCCTGCCAAGCTGAAGTAAAATAAAAATCTTCCAGAGAGGCAAGGCTGTTTCATATGAACTCCTAGATACTTTATATATAAGTGCAAAAACATCCTCATATTGAGAACAAACTACTCAAATCCTTTCCTCTGAAGAGAAAAGCATCCTTGAATTCTGGTGTTATTTCTGTAATGACAGGCATGTACTTTATATTCAGCATCAAAAGCCCCACCCACCACAAATGCATTAAGGTGCATTTACAACCTAAAAAATTTTGGTTAATTTATTCCTTTTTGAAAACTTACTTGATCTTTGCTATGTTTATTTTGCTTAAACAAGACATTTGAAGGGAGGGCTGGGAAGACAGTTCAGTCAGTAAAGTGCTTGGTACATAGGCATGAAGATCTGAGTTTGGATCCCTAGTACCCACTCAAAAAGCCAGGTGGTGGCACACTGACTCTAATTCTAGGACTGGAAAGATGGAGACAGATGAACCCCTTGGAGTGCACTGGCCAGGTAGTCCTGCCAAATGGGTGAAAAATGAAGTAGAGGGGCTGGAGTGATGGCTTAGCAGTTAAGAGCACTAGCTGTTCTTGCAGAGGACCTAGGTTTGATTCTCAGCATCCACATGGCGGCTAACAACCCTCTGTAACTCCAGATCCAGGGGCTCTGATGCACTCTTCTGACCTCTGTGGGCACTGCACTTACATACATGCAGGCAATATACTTATACACATAGAATAAAAATAATAAAATAAAATGAAGTAGAATATGATAGAGAAGGCATCTACATCGACCTCTAGCTTCTGTACTCAGTATGCACACATATGCACAAGCACCTGCAGGTACACACTCAAATTCAAAAACACAGTTGAAATTATGTTATTAAAGGCCAGGAATAGTCCCTTTTAATTTTTATCTATCCCATTATACCTGATAACTAATAACTGAATCACAGGCTCTAAAAGTCTACACCCTAAAGTAAGATCTCACAGACCTGTGAACCTAAGTACATAGTGTTTGTATAAACAAGTCTCCACAAATTCTAGTGGTCAGAAGCATGTTAACATACTCAATTAAAGGAGAAAATGAAAGTGGAGTTAGAAATGGTACATAAGGCAACTTGTTTGGGGAGCATCTAGAGAACACTGCATTGGCTTCACTGTTTACCAGCGTTATCCATTGCCATGAGTATGGCATCAGGAATAGCAAATGGCAAGGAAACCTAAACCTCAGAAGGAGAATAAATTGCTGTGATGTAATTATGATTACACGGGCCCTATCTTTGGGGGAGATGACAGTCGGGAAACAGCCCAAATGGGTGTGGAAAATGCTATGTAGGCCATTGGAGGCCAAGCCAAAGTTTTGCTGATGCTTTTTCTCCTGATGTTGTATTTTTAATGATGGCATAGATTCTCC